AAACGTTAACTCTGTTTTCTCCTTCACAGATGCTGTCAGACCTGCTGAGCTTTTCCAGCAACTTTGTTTTTGTTCCTGATTTACAGCATCCACAGTTCTCTTGGTTTTTATTAGATATAGCACTTGGGGCGGATGGGATCAAAGGTTATGGGGAGAAAACAGGATTAAGCTATTGATTTGGATAATCTGCCATGATCGTGAAGAATGGTAGAGCAGGCTCAAAGGGGGCTGAATGGCCTCCTCCTGCTCCTATCTTCTATGTTTTTATGTTTGTCTGAGAGTTTCTTTCTGGAGCCAAGTGACTATATAGTTGGTGCTGAAACAATCTCCGAGGTGCATTGTAAACGAAGCTCTTTGTTTACAGTCCTGACACACTTTCTGTTGTCTCGGAAACTAGAAATCATCCAAGAGAGGCTATCTGCTTCCTCACTTCCTTACTGAAAAAGCTCTGCTAGTGCATTTTCTTGTGCAAGTACTGATTTCCTTTAAATCTGGTGGCCATTAATCCCAGTTGATTAGCACATAGCTCTGAGAGCATGGCCATAAGGAATTTATGTCATAATGAGATCATTTTGTTTTAAATCCTCCAAATAGCAAGTTCATATTAATTTGATCTTGTGTTGATTTATGTCTATGAAGAGTTTTTATTTCACTGGATTGTTAATGCTGATAGAAAGCTCATTTCTGCACTTTTTTTAAACTGTAGGATATCAGAAGAAGATAAGCAGCAAACAGAGAAACAGCTTGAATCTCTTCAGGAAACTTATGATAAGTTGTGTGAGGAGTCTTCTGAGGGCCTCCAGCAAATACAAAGCACGCTAGCTGAAGAGACAATGGAGAAGGTAATAACCAACTCTGAGTTCAGGACATGTTTAAAGTTGCATTTCTGCAGCAAAGCAGGATATTTATATGGGATACCTTGTCATTAACCATCCAAAAATCCTGAATTTAGTTCAGTTGGATTGTTCATGAAGGTGTCATCAAGCAAATAAGCAAATGCTTTCAAACTTTTGACAAATGTGTGCTTAATTTTTTAAATAACTGCAAATGTGATATGCTGAGAGATGGATTTCCTTTTATTGAGTGAGAAAAGGGGGACTTCTTTTTAGCTTTGTAAAGAACTTCACTTCTGTATGCTGTAAACATGCATAGCATGGTTATCACAATGTTGAATACCTAATTCTTTCCTTTTTCTGTGAACAGAAGCATGGTGCTTAAGTTCTGTAAGTGCACTACACGTCATGTCACACACTAAAAGTAACCCTCTTTTGCTTCCTGTTGTGACTAACGCTTTAAAATACACGGATGATACTTTAGCATTAAAGGATGTGCATGTGGGACATTTTATAAAATAAATGACTTCTATCGACACCAAAACTGGGCCTCACTTTTGCTGTTGCATCGCTAACATTCACCTTCCTGGTAAGTACACATTATTGTTTCATTGTCGTCGCCATAACTGAAATGTGTTTTGCATGGACGGGTTCTGAAGAGCTTGGAGGTAACGATTATTTGGTGTTTGTATTTGATTATTTTTGGTGCCAACTTTATTCCCCCTTGTAAATACTCTTCTTTCTCCTTTTGATTTTCAGGACTATGAAACCATTGCAGGTGTTCTTGATGTGGTGACTGGGATGGTTTATCCAATATTCCCTGCAATATGCCATGGTTTTATAGATTACGACACAGGGGTGATTTTGCTGGAAGCTCAGGTCATTGAGTCAGGCCTGATTCTTCCAGAAACAAAGCAGTGCCTTGGTATAGAAGAAGCCTTGAGATGTCAGTTGATAGATGAAAAGATCTTCAACCAACTGGAAGAGTTGAGTAATTCCGCCAAAATTATTTCAAGAACCTTATGTGAATCACGTGACACCCATCCTGTTGTTGGTGTTTATGACAACAACATTATCTCAGAGATATCGGTCATTAAAGTCCTTGAGGCACAGTTTGCCACTGGAGGACTCAGGGTTCCAGCCACGGGTGAAAGGCTCAATCTTGAGGAAGCTTTTCAGAGAGAACTCATCACTGCTCAGCTGTACTTTAAATTGCAAGAGAGGCAGAAGATGTGCAAGGAGCTGATTGATCCAAATACAGCTGAGAAGGTATCATTAATGGAATTAATGCAAAGAGTCACAGTGGATAAAGAAACTGGACTAAGACTGCTTCGTATAAATCCAGGAGAGTGGGGCACAATCAACTTGAGATCTGGTAGACAGGTCAGTGTTCTACGGGCAGTCCATGAAGGCCTCATAGACCGTGAAGTGATGATCAGGTTTCTTGGTGCTCAGCTGTTCGCTGGCGGGCTTATTCACCCTCAGACAGGAGCTCGGCTAACAGTAGATGAAGCTTTGGTATGTGGTCTCATTGATCACGATGTAGCTTCAGACCTCCTCACTCACCAAGTTCAAACAGGAGGCATTATCAACCCAGCTACTGGCAGGAGATTAACCATGGATGAAGCTGTGCAGTGCAATTTAATATCGTCGAGCAGTGCACTTTTAGTCCTGGAATCACAGCGGGTATTTATGGGTCTCATTTGGCCTGATTCTGGAGAGATATTTTCTATCAACACTTCTTTGCAACAAGGAGTGGTAACGAATGAATTAGCTCACAAAATCTTGAATAACAGGCAAAAAATAGCAGCCCTTTACATCCCTGAGAGCTCATCAGTGCTCACACCTGAGGAAGCAAGCAAGCTAGGTATAGTAGACAAAAAGGCAGCACCTATTCTAAGCACAGTAACAATACCTGACTTGATGCCTGGCAGCAAACACTTTCCATCTTCACATGAAGACGCCTTGAACTGGGGATCAAATTGTGAAGTCGAAACTTGTGCTATTAATGACCCTACTGGTGTTAAAGAAAGAGACAGAGATGAGAATTCAACTCTACAGCAGATGGAAATACAACAGAAATTTGTATCATATCTGATGATGCACAGCTATATGGATGCAGGCTCAGGAAGGAGGCTACTTTTGGTTAATAGCGACTTGAATGGAAAGATTAAAATGGTGATGGAAGCAAGTGACACAGATGTTCCATTAGAAGATCAGCAAGAGTGCCTTCATATTCAAGATGGCAGCGTATTTGAGAATCTGTCAGAAGCTGGAAAAAAGTCAGAAAGTATCAGCTTCCTTAAAAGCCATGTTTGTTCTGAAAGGTTGGATTCAGATGATAGAGTAGAAAAACAGAGTGTTGATACACCAAGTGAATATTGTGGGAGTATTAATAATGAAGCATTATATTGGATGCCTGGTGTGCAACAGTTTCCAACAAATGACCTTGAAGAGTATGCATGTTCACAGACGATAGATAGTTCAAGAAATTGTGTGACCGACATCAAAGAAGGCAAAGCAATTCGGGCAACTGAAGCATTAGAAGCTTTTGCAGGTTGTCCTGAAGTGCCATCTCTTCCTGAAAACTTAAGTATGCATCCAGACTTTACAACCAGACAAACCAACCATGTTAATTCTTTTGAAAGTGATTTGGGAAACCATTTGAGAAAAAGTGAAGCGGTTCCAAAAGATGATCAGGTTACTCAAGTGGTAATTTCAGTGTTGCAAACTGCAGATTCCTTCCAAGAGGAAGAGGTTGCCAAGACTGTGTCTTCAGCAGAACATTTGGCAGCTGAAATCAGCCCGAGGATTCCAATACAGCAGTCATCTCCACCTCGTGAATGCAATAAGTTCACTCCATTTCCATCGGACATGGACCTCCGAAGAGACTTTGGAGAAGGCCTGAATAAAACGTTGGGTCTAGATGCATCATCTGGTATGCAGTGGGGTGATAAAGGTAGCAATGGTACTCAAAGTTTTGAAGACACGTTAGTGATCCACACAGAGCATGCTAACAAAACTGCAAACAGCGTGGCTGCTCAACAGTGCTTGGAAGTTTCAGAACTGGAAGAACCTAATGATCCAGGCGGAAGACAAAATATTGCTGAGCTATCAGTGGAATATAAAAACAACGTGGCAGATACAACTGCAAACTCTCTTCCTTTGGAATCACAGCTGCCAACTGGGAAAGATGTATTCATTTCAGAACAATTAGAAACTGAGGCGAAAACAAGTGAACACCTTGTATGTGGAAAAAATAAAATAAGGACAATTAAAACGTTAGATGATATTGCGGACACACATGAAATGGTAGATTTTTTCGGTACTCCTGATGCAGAAAGATTAAGTGAAAATGTGAAGATAGATGTCATGATGAAGATGAAGGATGAAGAACAATTGCTTACAGATGACAAGCATTCACTTGTTGCTGATAAAGATGAACTAGGAGGTAGCAATTTTGAAAACCAGGTCAGCATTCATAAGTTAATAGAAACACACACAGATTCCTCAATGGAAACAGTGTGTGATGTAATGATTCCATCGGTGGAAGAGTGTCTCTCCATTCCCAATGAAATCTTGGATCTGAGCCCTACAGAAATTGAAAGTAAAGGTGCACAATCTACAAATGATACTGTGGACCATCAGGAATCAAAACAAAAACTAATAAAGATCATTGAAACGTTGGATGACATAGCAGACTTCGATAAAATGGAGATTGCTGAACAATCTGTTGTGAGAGATAGTTTGTTAGAGAATGAACATCCAAATTCCAGTGAAGAAGGTAACAATGACAGTGTGTTAGGGAATGGGTTGAGTGGACCCACAAATACAGTTGAAGATGGTGCCATTCACCAATATGCTGGGTTTGCTTCTGTAGGTGGTGAGGTTGAAAATGGGAGGACCAAATTCATTACAAGCATGGAAGGATTGGAAGATATCGCAGATAGCCAAGAAATACCGTGGTGTATTGGAGAGCTTACAGGAGCAGAAGAGACTCAAATGTTTAGTCCTTCTGGAGTTGAAGATATTGAGGATGTATTTGAATGTTCCACAAAAATGGACAGCAGTGAATTTAGTTTGCTAAATGATGCAGAATTAAATTCAAATGCCAATGAGCAAAATCAGCACAAACAAGTGAATATTAAGGCTGAGCATGAAACAATGAAGAACTGTGGAACATCTGAACAAGGTGCATCAGTGGGTAATCTAATAATAATAGATAAAGTGATAAATGACTGCTGTCTTGATGCAAGATGTCCATTGCAAGAGGGTCCATTTGACAGTGCAGTAACACCGAAGAATGCTGAAGGCATCCACAGAGTTAATGGGAGAAATTTATACAAAGGAGAGGATGAAGAAAACGTTGCAGACAAGATTTCTTTAGAGGCAGTTGAAAGTAGGAAGTGGGACAGATTAGCTTTGATAAAACAGTACAAATCAGAAGTTGAAACAGGTGGAATATTTGACCCTGTTACTGGTAAAAGGTACAATCTTGAGGCTGCTTTGGCACATGGACTTTTGGATGAGGAGATGGCTGTGGATGTTTTGGTTTCACAGTTCCAGGGTGGAGAAATTTGTTTTGAGGAGAGTGGTGAAAATTTAACCCTTAGTGATGCAGTGGCAAAGGGACTTTTACCAAGTGACGTTGCTATCAAAGTATTAGATAAGCTTGGATTGATTGGAGGATTCTATAACCCTGGTACAGGAGAAATAATGGAAGTGGCTGCTACTGCAGAGCAGGTCGTAAACAATGACCTCTTGACAAAAGTATTACTTTCTGAGAAAATGGTCTCTGGAATTATTGACCCAGAGACCTGCAAGCTGCACAATGTTCATGATGCATTAAGACTTGGTATTTTGAGCTCTTGTACAGCTCTGCATTTGCTGGAAGGCCAAATTGTTTCTGGTGGCATTGTGGATCTCAAACAAGAAGACCAATTATCAGTGGCTGCGGCCTCAAAGCTTTGCTTGGTTGATGATAAAACTGCTGAACAATTGATGAAAATAGAAAAGGCAAAAAATGGAGGGCAAGTCGACGAGGTGACCAAACTAAGGGCATTAAATTACCAGCTTGAAATGTACGGCATATTGGATCCACAGACGAAACAACCTTTGTCTGTGATAGAAGCAGTTAACAGACACCTTGTGGAAAGGGATGCTGTGCTCTCTGTTCTTCGCAAGCAAGTTGTAGATGGTGGTATCATTCAGCATAAATCAGGACTTCGCCTCTCTCTGACTAATGCTTTGAGGCATGGTTTAATTAGTCAAGACCTAGCTGACGACTTGTTTGAATTAGAAACATCTTGCCAAAATATTCACACTTTAAATGCTGGGAAGAATTTGTGTTCTGAAGAAATCTATCAGTGGTTACATTTTCCAGTGGAAATTGAAAGGAACCAGACAATGGATGAATTCAAAACTGGAAAATCAGTGATTCAAGTTGAATCTGGCGATGCAAAATCATTGAATGGAAATTTGAAAAAAGAAATGAACCTTTACAAAAGCCAGGACAATGTTGGTGAAAGCCAAATTAACATTATTCCTTACTCTGATTTAGTGAAAATAAGTAAAATAGATATAGTCACTGGCCGAAGATACATGGCAGTAAAACCTCGCGAACAATGTTTGAATGTCCAAAATGTTGAACCAATGTCAAAATTACAAGCAGTTGGTGTAGATTTGGCAAGAACTCTCAGAGAGGAGTTAAATAATAAAACCATAGTATATGCCAGAGAAGGTGAAGTCACCAATCAGGACTTTGGAGCAAAGAGTGAGCTGAATTGTCAGATTAACCCTTCACCTTCTGGCTCCTCTGTTCAGGAAAGTAATCAAGATATTTCCCTCAATATCAAGTTTCAGGAGCAGGCTGGCCAAACCACTGAGGAAAATTTGCCTGGAAAACTGGACTACATTCCATCCAAACCATCTTGTTTTGAAGATTCACTGCAAGGTGACTTTTTCTCATATGTTCGAGAATGCATGTCAGATATCGAGCGAGAGTCAGAATTGGCTAGAAAAAAAAATCTTTTAACAAGAGAAGAGGAACTTAAGGAAGAAGTTGGAAAATTGACTGCAAAGACATTTATGGAAGAAAAATGTGTGGAAGAGATGGAGCCAAACAATCCCAAAGCCAATACCAAGGTTCAAGGTCTAATGGGTCTGCAAGGGATTGGCAATTTGGAAGAAAACTTTGAAGGAAGAGAGCCTGATATAATTCTCAGCCCACATGATGAAGCACAATTAAATGGAATTTCCAAAATAAATAATCAAGTTGCACAAGGTTCTGGCTGTGAAGAATGTGCAGAAGGATCTGAAGGAAGTGTAAATATTGCAATGGCTGTGGGGAATGTGCTGAAAGCTGTGTATATGAAGTTCAGTGATGCATTCAAAAGAAAACCAATTGAAGGTGAGGAAATCTCACGTGACGATACAATGATAAATGAATGCATGCAAGATGAAAAGTTTGTTGAAACATTAAATGACACTGCAGAACATGCAAGTAGGGTGAAAGAATTGGAGAAAAACATGTCTGACACCTCTGGAGCAGGAGGAAATGCGGGAGAGATGTCCAACTGTGATGGTCAAACATTATTTGTAGAATCTGAAAATCTATTGTGTCAAGAAAGAATCAATGAAGAAGTACAAGATCAGAATGCTGAAGGCAATCAGAAGCTTGAGATATCATTGGACAAAACAATAAATAATTCATTAGAGCTTGAGGATAAAGCCAACTTGGTTTTGGAAGAGGAAAGTCTTGTCCATTCAGAGAATGTGCTTGGTCTCACAATCGTTGAAAATGAGTCTTCAGAAAATACAGATGATCAAAGAACAGTTGGAATTAATAGTGGAACTGGTGATAATAAAGAAGCAGACACCTTAGATTTGAAGGAATGCAATACAGAGGTGGAAGGTGTTGCTGAAATGCCTGATGTTGAGGATGTAGCAACTTTATGTGGCGATACTGGGGCTGCTGTAAGTAAGTCAGAAATTCTCTTTGATTGTCTGAAACAAGAGCTTCTCAATGAAGAGTTTAGTGAATCACTTGGTTTAAAAGAAGAAAAGTTTTTGAAAATAGCAGAGTCGATTGCTTGTTTGAAGCCGGCAATGATGAGTGCACAAGCGCAAGAAATGCTTTTTGCAGTAATTGAAGAGAAAGATCCTTGCAGTTTGAAAAACCAAGCCCTGGTCAGCAGTCTGATCGATGAGCTTTTCTGTGAAATAAAACATGAAATTCCTGGTTTGATGGAAGACAGGCAAGTGAAAGAGACATTACGTGAAAGATTTCTAGTGCTACTCAGCACTGCAGAAACTTCTCAAGGTGTATTGCAGCAAACAGTCAAGGAGAAAGGGACTAACATGAATCAAGCGATTCAGATGAAAGAAAATGGTCATAGGAATGGAAATTTTGGCTCCACTACCAGTGGGTCAGAATCACAAGAAGGCATAGAGAAGGTAGCCATGTGTGACAGGGCATCAAAAGATGCCCAGTTAAATGATGACAGTGGTACTATGAAGCGGATGATAGAATTAAAGCAAGATAGGCAGGGAGATGACCTACGAATGCAATCTGCTGATTTTTCTGATGAAATGGAATTGCTGGAAGATGCACAGGCTGAAGTCATGTTGGAAGATGCATCTGATGACATTGGGATTAGCAACAATAAGGGTGTTGTGGAAGTGAAGGAAGTGTTGCAAGTCAGGCAAGATGGACAATATGTAAGTGAGAATGGAAGTAGGAAACTACCAGCTGATTCTCAATTGTACCTGCTAAGCAATATTCATGAGAATACCACTGAGCTAACAGTGAATGATTCCTGGGTTAAAGTGAGTGAAGAAGGCAATGTGAAGGAAAAGACAGAGATGCTAGGTGGCCAAAATACAAATGAGGACAAAAATGAAGCTTTGCTGATGCAGTCTCCTCCTTCCAGTGATCAAGAAGAATTTCCCAAGAACATAAAGGAGAGTGACAGTTTTGGCAAAGCATCAAACAATGTCTGGAATGCAGATATAATGAATGAAAGAGAAGTGCAATCTAGTGTACAAAGTACAAATGAAAGAACAAGTGAAGATTCCATTGCAATTTCATGTAGTAGTCCTGATGAAATAGAAGCACCAATAGAAAACATTCAGGAACCAATCACCTTTGAAAATGCACTATGGATTAATGAGAATAAAGGTGATATGAAGAACGCAATTGAAACTATAGCATGTGATCAAGATGTAAATAGAAAGAGAAGTAAGGATTTAGTGATGCAGTCTTACAATGCATTTAGTGAAATGAAACCGTTGGAAGGCACTGGGGAAGAGACCAACATTAAACTTGAACAGCATGAGGACCACAAGACTGTTGAGGGGGATGAACAGGTTAGTAATCCTTGAGATTTGTCTTTATACAGTTCAATTGTGAAAATTATGAAAGCACAAAACCAAGAATAAGTTGGATCATAATGTTGTCTGTACCCCTAGGAACATTCTCATTCCTCATACAATAGAGTCATTACCAATTAGGTAATAATGTAAGAAAGTCTTAATACAGTAGCTCACTTATATAATTACTTTCTTGCTGTGGTGCACTCAGCATTGTATACCCTCTTCTCAGTTCAGTTGAGTAGTAATATTGAATCAGTTCTATGTAGGTTTTATAGTTAAGAAGGTTTTTGCTAGGTCCATCATTTTTTCTTATTCACTCATGGGAAATAGGCATCATTGGCTGGGTCAGATTTGTTGCTAATCCAAAGATTCCCTTGAGAATGTGGTGATGAGCTGCTGTCTTGAACTGTAGCCATTAATGTGCTGTAGATAGACCCACAATGCTGTTGAGTAGGGATTTTGATTCAGTGACCTGATGTATTTCCAAATCAGGATGATGTGTGGAGAGGAGCTTGCAAGTGATGATTTTCCCTTGTATCTGCTGCACTGTCCTTCTAGATTATAGTGGTCGTGGGTTTGGAAGGTGTTATTAAGATGTTAGTGAGGAGGATTTTTCAGGTTTATAAGGCTTTTGCAATTGTCATTTCCAGTACCTAGGTCACTGCCAGGTTGTCCATCCAGCTTCAACTCTTTGAGACTTTCTAGCAAATGTTACAACTGAGTGGCTTGCTAGGCTTTTTCAGACGGCAGTTAAGAATCAACCACATTGATGTGGATGTGGAGTCCGCTACAGGCCAGACCAATTAAGGAAGGCAGTTACCTTCCCTTAAGGACATTAGTGAATGAGATGGGTTTTTTGAACAATTGACGGTCGTTTCATGGTCATCATTACATTCTTAGTTCCACATTTCCTTTTATTAAAATCAAACTGCACCATCCCCATGGTGGGTTTCAAACCTGGGTGCCCACAACATTACCCTGGGTTTCTGAATCAGCCATCTAGCAATAATACCACTAGGTCATTGCCTTCCCAAACTACTTTAGAACAGTATTCCAAATTGTTGCCCCTCTTAACTGAATGTGGGATTGTTTCTGTTGTATCTCTTGTCTATCATAAAGGTATTTTATTTTAAGTTGAACAAACATTATTGGCAACAAAATTGTTTTTCCTGAATGAAACATGGCAGAAGAACTTTACAATCAAATTTAGAACTCCCTGGTCATTTAGACAATATTCATCCTTCACTAGCATCTCTACAACAGATTATCTGGTCTATATCAGATTACTGTTTGTGGAAGCTTGTTTTGCACAAATGGATTGACATGTTTCCTTCATATTGCAAGAGTGACTACATTTCACTGAAACAAAGGTACTTCACTGGCTCAAAAATGCATTGATATATCCAGATGTCATGAAAGGCACCATAAAATAGGCCTTTCTCTCTGCACTGAATCAGTTATAATGAAGGACACTTAGAAAATAATCTACAATCAGGCATGCTTTTGAGAAAAGGCATGAAAGACTGATCTTATCAAATGTTGGAACAGGCTTAACATGGCAAATGGCCGACTCCTGATCCTAATTTTTGATCCTGAGTTATTGTGATTCAACTCTGATGTTCCTCTGAAAATGAAAAGCAAATATCTTACTCTTGCCACCTGGTGCACTATTTTGGGCTTAGGACAAAGATTAGAAATTGTCAATGACTGTAAATTTCAAGATTTCCTGAGCTTTATTTTCATGCATTTTGTATCCACCATTGTTTTGTATTAAATATTATTTATTATATCGAGTTGATTAACATTTTCATTATGATCAAATTGTTCAATTTAATGATTATCTTGAAAATAATCTGTTTTTTCACAACATTACAATGATTTAGGCCAAAGCTGAAGTGTTAATTCGATTTTTGTTGCAGACATGTAACATTGCACAGCAGTGTTTGCAACATGCAGAGAATCTGCAAGCTCACTTAACGTTACTCCAAGATAGGAGAATCCAACTGGAGAGCCTGCAGCCAATTGACACAGACCTGGAAATCCTTCAAAAACGACTAGATTACCACAAAGTAAGTAATATATTTCATATGGAACTAGCTCACCAAATTTAAAGTGCAATAAACATTTGTTCAACTTAAGAGCCATGACTGGGAAAAAGTGTGATTGTTTTACTTATGTAATGCAGCGACATGTTGGACTGCCTTCTTCAAGATTGCCTTGGAGTGGATACAAAGGAGTGGTACCAGACACTTTAGTTACATGGTGAGATGAGAGATGTCAGGATTGTTCTTGTCAGGAACGGAAAGAAGTGATTTAGTAACAGTGTTCAAAACAGCAAAGAGTTTTGATAGAAATACCGAGTAAACGAGGAGAAGAATACCTTAGGCAGGTACTTTAATTACTAGAGACCACAGATTTAAGATGCTTGCAAAAAAAACCAGGAATTTTTATACACTGAGTTATGATGATCTGGAATACACTGCCTGAAAAGGTGGTGAAAGCAGATTCAGTTATAATTTGTAACAAGGAGTTGGGCACAGATCTGAAAAGGAACAATGTGCAGGCTTTAGGGAGAGAGCAGGAGAATGGGGCCAATTGGATGTCACTTTTCAAGAGCTGGTACATATCTGATGGGATAAGTGGGCTGTTTATGTGCTGGAAGATATTGTGGTGTAAGTTTAGTTCATTTGTGGGCAAATGCAGGGTGAGCCTATGAAGCAGCTTTCAATGTAACTGGGATTACATCATTTGTGCATTAAGTGTGTGCTGTAGGAGTACGTTCTTCATTTATAATTGGAATTGTATTCCTGGTAATCACAACTTAAAGTGAAGTAACTAAGCGAGTTATGTTTACCCTTTAAAACCACTGTAAAAACTATTATTAGGACTGCAGAACATTCTGAATCAGAAAAAAAATTACACCCTGTATAACCCTTCACATTGCTAAATTCCTGTATTCATAATCAAATAACTTATAAACTGAATTGAAAAATAAAAATGCAAAAAATATAAAGATCTTACTTTCAGAACTTTTCGTTTGCCACTCATTCTGCTTCCTGAACCTCCTGTTTGCCACAGATCCTGCGTTGTAATCTTTCTGGTCACAGTGGGCTCTTCCTCTTGTTGCCCCAGTTCAGGGTCTCTCTCACGGCTTAATCTACCCTCTTGCTGCCAACCCTCCAACCTGCAGCTTCAACTGTTCCCTCGCTCTTCTGTTTGCTGGTTCTCATTCCTGTGTAAGCTTCATCTGGCACATGTGCTTCTATGGCTCTTGCTGCCTCTGCTCATGTCCAAAGGCCTTGCTCGCAGCGAGGACTCAGGAGAGGGAAGCAATGATCAGGAGCATGTACTTCTGGAGCTCCCAGCTTCAGATCAGTCTGGGTGTTGAAAGGGGACACAAGTTCAGGTGAGGGCAATGATGAACATGAGTGTCACCGAGTTGGAGATTTGGAAAAGCAAAGATCAGCAAGAGGATAAGTCAGGAAACAGCAGAGATTGTAAACTGGAGGGTAGGTTTGGGAGCAGGAGAGACTGCACATTAATGGTGCTGAACAGGTCACCCAGTTTGAGATCATATTAGTGAAAAATTACTTTAAAATCTTGCAATGTCAAGCAAGAACACAGGCCCCATTTTTGAAGCAAAATAACATTAAACTTATTGTAAATTATGCACAGCAATAATTCCACTCTTCCTATTGAAATCATGTAAGATTGTTGTATCACAACAGTCACCTCTTAACCCAAGGTGCAGAATGATCTAACAGATACCTTCAAAATTGAGAGGATTTCATTGGATAGAGTGAGTGAAAGTATTCTCACTTATGAGGCCTTCCAAAATTCTGGGCCTTTGTTATTAAATGATCAATAATGAATCCATTAGCAAATTCAGGAGCAACATCTTGATCCAGACGGTGATGAGGATGTGAAACTTGTTAACCGTTGGAGTGTTTGGGGTGAAGAGGAGGTTCATATGAATATAATGGCTGGCATAGATCTGAAATTAAGCTATGCAGTCCATGTTGTTTTAAGAAGTTTAAAAACGTTTGACCATATTGGTACAATTTATTTGTTTTTAAACTTTTAGGGTCTTGCTTAGGTATTGTCTTGGATACTGGGGTTGGCACTCTCACAAGTGGTCTGATGTCCTGGCTAATATTGTCCACCAATATGTTTTTGCTTTTCTCTTTCCTCTAACCATGCTTGCTCCATCTCTCACTCTAACTCTTGCCCACTCTATTCCTATTTAATGCCCATCTTTCCCACCTCCCTCTCTCTGCTCACCCTATCTTGCCATGCCCCCTCTCCCTCGCTCTCCTCTCTCCACACCAATCTCCTGGCACCCATCTCTCTGCTTCCCCTCTCTCTCCCTCCCTTTCTCACCTCATTCTCTCTGTCTGCACTCACACCTCTCTCCCCGCCATCTCTCTCTCTCTCCCCCTCCCTCCCTCTCTGTCTCTCAGTTTTCTCTCTGTGTCCACACACCAGTTCTCCTTTGTTGGAAGAAAGATATCAAAAAGGAGACTTGAGTCCTGTGTATAGTGGTACCAGTTGGTCTTTATTCAGAGCTCTTTGCCAACGCAACGTGAGAGAGGTCTTTGGAAACAGTTTCTGCTAGACACTCTGCCTTTCTCAGCCAAGTACAGCATTTTGATACATTCCCCATTCCAATAATTACATGTAACATTGATGTCATTGCTAGCCACATTTCCCCTAATTTACACATCCAATCCCGAAAACACGCGATCAATGTTGTCAACTCTATGGACAGCCCTAGGTCCTCCCATGATGTCATGATGCTTACTAGAGACCTCTGTCATCTACCTTTGGGATCTTACAATGCATCTCATTCAAACAGATTCCAATAATGACTGTTATACTCCTTCCTAGATATTTGCAAGCTGCATCACGTTAATTGCCAATAAACTGAATATTTGCTTATCACAAATGATTTTTTCAAATTCTGTCAAGCAATTTATATTCCCTACTAACCTGATTACATGATATACAAAAGGATGATAATTTCTACCAATTGTTACAACATTTGTAATTTCAGTTCCAAATTAAAGTTCTATAGTCACACCTAATATTATGATTCCTTGACAAATCTGACAAATTGGGGAACAGCTTCTCTCTCTCTCTCTCTCTCTCTCTCTCAACTCTTGGAGATCAAACAAAGACAATCTGTCTATCTTGCAGCTGTAATTATGACTTCTGCTGTTTGCATGCTGTAAGTTGGTTTAAAACATGTTTGATTCTTGGGTGAACTTTACTGACTCTATTGTAAACGCGTTCTAGTTACTAAATAAGACAGTATCTATTCAAATTCCATTGATGAAGATGAAATTCAATCACTTTCGCAACTTTACCAAGTCGTTAAACTTATTTGGGTTCTCAAAGTACAACAGGACATGACCTCACCCTAATTCTTATTTTATGATTTATCTTTGTCATTCTCCCCTTGATCTTTGGGTTTAAGGATCTGCTCAAATTATCTACATCTGTACTTAGGCTGTTTGCTAAGCTGTAAAGCTGCAGTTGTTTATTTTATTAAAGTCCCACTGACCATGTTTTACAACCTCTTTATACTCCCCCACCATGCTAACTGTCTCTCATGCTCTCTTCGGGATTATCTGTTTACACTATTTGTCGCTTCATCTTCCCTGCTAAAGAAGTGGGCTTGTCTTTACTGTCTAAGGTTGACTGCTCGTAGGAATTCAGCTAAATTCCCCTTGTTAGTTTATAGGTTGTATTTTAATTTACAGTTACCTAAAAAGTTCAGCACACTGTTGGATCAGAATTTTCCTTCCACATTTAACTAAATAACAAACTTGAGTGTTAGTGCCCAGGTGTCTCTTATCTAGATTTTTCAAGAATGCACCTTATCAAAAATGCTTATGTGCTTAGTACAGCCTGTCTACAGAAATCTAATTAAAATCCCCAGCCTTTTCTCGTGGAACTTTTCATTATCTTACCGGTAACACTATATGGCGACCACAAGCCTGGCTATAAAAGTTGCTATATGTAGCTGCTAATTCCTTCTCAACCTTCCTCCCTCACTTTCTTTGTCTCTCTTCCTCCCTCTTTTATTTCCTCCCTCTCTCTCTCTTCCCCCCATCTCTTTCTTCCCACCATCTCTTTCTTTCTTCCCCCATCTTCCTCATTCTCTTTCTCCTATCTTTCTCTTTCTCTTTCTCCTCTCTTTCTCTTTCTCCTCTCTTTCTCTTTCTCTTTCTCGTATTTTTCTCTTTCTCCTAGTTTCTCTTTCTCTGATCTTTCTCTTTCTCCTATCTTTCTTCCTCCCTCTCCATCTTTCCCTTTCTCTCTGTCTCTACCTGCCTCTCTTCCTCGCTCCCACTCTCTCTCTGGCTGCCTACTGTCTGGCCCATTGTTTGTCCTTGCACGTTTTCTCTCTCCTTCCAGTTCTCTCTTTCCCTCTCCTCACTCTCATTCTGTCTGACTTCTCTTGCTTCCCTTGCCCTCATTCTTTGTCTCTTTTCCCCCTCCCTCCCCATCAATCTTTGTATCCCCCCACTCCCTTACTCTCACTCTCTGTCTTTGTCCCACACTCTTCCCCTCTTCGCCACCCACAAATTTGCTTGCTGTCTCTCTGCATCTGGATGCCCTCTCTGTGTCCCTGGGCTGTCTTAATTTCTTCATCCCATTAAGTCCTGATGATTTTAGATGTACCTGTCGAATGATGTTTTATTAAGGCCCTGATGTCATACTGTAAATGTGTAAACTCTCGAGGTCTGTCATGTGGAATGGTTCATGTAAACCTCTGTTTTCCAGTTAATAAAGTGTGAGCTGGAGGAGTCCGTAACACGCGATCTGAAAGCTGCTGAGAAATTTCTGGATAGCGTTCACCTGGACCCTGATGAACCGTTACTGAAGAATTTGGAAACTGACTGTAAAGATTTACAAATGTCTCTCGGGGACATGATTGATGTGTGTGCAAGCAGAGTTGAGGCCCTGTCAAGTGCCATTGAAATAGAACAGGTCTGCTGTATTGTTTTTCCAAATATTTTACAAATGATCCTCCTCTTTATTATGTCAAAATGAATACTTCAATGATTTTAGACTCTCTGCATTACTTCCAAAATTATAAGGGGCACTTTACTAATGTCAGGCTCTCTCCTGACACACACTTTGTGAGGTCCCCTGTAAATCTGCACAACACACACACCCCATTGTTGGAGGTGAATTGGACCTTTTGCAAGTAAGGTCGGTAGATTTTTATTCGGCAAACCTACCAAGGAAAATAGGGCAAAGTGGGGTCAACGCTGTTAAGGCTCAAGTCAGTCCAGATTAAATGAATGATGGTGAAAACTAAAGGGCCTCCTCCTTTTCGAATGTTCCAGTGACTTTTCCAGGAATGCCTTTTTTGTTTTCAGTGTTCGATGTCCCGCATTATAAACAGTAACTGGTGGAATTCCACTTGTGTCCTGTAACTGTGGGTCTGTTGCTGATCATACTGTCTGCTGGCATCAATCACTTGCCAATAAAACACTGGTTTCCAACTGTTTCTACTCAAAACAGCCAGAGCACTCTCGGACCTTAGAACCTGCAATTTTGAAAATGACATTAATGCAAATGGTTAATGGTTTTGTTTTGAGTTTGGACACCATCTGCGGTTAAAGATTTTAACAATGGCTCCTTCTGGGCCATACCGCCTTCTGGTTTTGATACAAACTGGTTGAAATTTCTATTCTGCTTTTCAGTCTAAGATCAAGGCAATACATCAGGAGCTCCTCGCCACACTCGATCGGCTGTCCACTCATGTGCAAGACAATGCCACTGTCTTAGAAACTCTGTATCCAGACATGGCCAGTGATTTGGAAACTGTTGAAAGATGTATACGGCAACACAAGGCAAGCGTTGCAGACAAATCCTGTAACTCGAGAAAATGGTTACATTTGCAGTATAGCTAATGAGAATTAAGTTTTTAAATGTTGTAATAACAAGGTGACTTTGCAGGGTTAAGCTATGATGGTAGCATTTTAGATAGAAACAGCATATTTAACATATGAATATGCAACAAGGTCTTTCACTATAATTTGATCAGAGAAAAGGGCACAAAAAGCTAGCATACAAGTTCAGTAGGGAAGACAAATGGAATGTTGGTCTTTATTTCAAAAGGAAGGGAGTATAAAAGTTGGGAAGTCTTGCTAAAACTATACAAGGCACCAGTCAGACAGAGCTTGATAATTGTGAATAGTTCTGAACCTCTTCTCTAAGGAAATATGTATCGGCATTGGAGGCAGTCCAGAGGAGATTCACTCGGCTAATCCCGGATATGGAGGGACTGCCTTATGAAGAAAGGTTGAGTGGATTGGACTTCTACTCATTGCAGTTAAGGAGAATGAGAGGAGACCATATTGAAGCATACACAATTCTTAGGAGACTTTACAGGGTAGTTGCAGAAAGGCTGTTTCCCCTTGTGGGAGAATCTAGGACCAGAGGGCATAAGCTCAGAGTAAGGAGGCCCCCATTTAAAACTGAGATTAGGAGAAATTTCTTCCCTGAGTATAGTGAATCTGTGGAATTCCTACTCCGAGGGCCATAGAAGCTGGGTCACTAAGGACAAGCAAGGCTGAGATGGATTTTTAATCAGTTAGGGAATCAAGGATTATGGGGCTAAGGCAAAAAAGTGGAGTTGAGAATTATCAGGTCAACCATGATTTCTTTGAATGATAGACCAGACTTGATTGGCTGAATGGCCTACTTCTGTTCCTATGTCTTATGGTCTTAGAAGTAAATAATGCTCAGGACACCAAAAAGAGTCCAGTGACTCTTTGTCAAACTCCCTTGATTGGAGTTTCTCATATTTCGGGTTTGATTAAATTCAGTTCAGTGACCTGAGATTGTGCACCCGACAAATACTTTCAATACAATGTACTTAAGCATAATTCAGAGCAAATTTCAAATTGATCAAGCTGTCTATCTGAAAATAAGAGTTCAATCTTGAAGTCTACCAACTTGTGCTAGCACCCAACACCCTCCATTCATCATGCTGTGGGCGTAGTTCAATCAAGAGACTGATGTCAGGCATGTTGAACAATAACTGTAGAAAAAACTGCCAAATGTGTTTTTTGATGTCTTTGGTTAAATGGAAATTAAGTGGAATTGTTGCTTCTGTTAAACGGTTTCTTAGCACCAAATTTACCTGAGTTGGAAGAGTCAGAATGCTAGATGAGTTAAACTCATTCAGTGGTTAGCAGTAGCAAGTGCAGGTTTGGCATTTGTTATTTTTGGGAACCAACCTATTTGATATGCTAATGTTCTCTGCTTGGCTGTTATTGAATTGTTTCCATTGCAATTGCATCCAGCAAAGTGGGATTCATGACCTTTAAATAGCCTCTATTACCTCTTCACAATTTAAATTAATTCTGATATTTTGGTTTATATTTTTGGTTAAAGAATTGTTCTTTGTGTATGCAGTTCTTATAAAAGACATTGGCTTGAATTTGTGGTCAGTAAAGAATGAATGGCGCTCACCATTCTTGATGTTTAGATTTGTCCACAGGCCTTCTGTGAGGTCTTGTACTGCAATTTAGAATAATTAGAGAATGCACGGTCCTGCTCAGGGGATATGGACCTGTGTAAACAGAGCAAGTAACTATATCTCCCTTTATCCAATCAGATTGAAGAATCCTGACTGAGCCACATAGAGTCCAAACCAGGAAGTAGAAGTTAGAGTAGTTGATTTAATATTTTACTTTTAAACATGACGTTATGGAGAGACACAATGAAAGATGCAATGAAGAGGGAGGAAAAAAAACAAAAATAAATACCTTTTAAAATAATATGTGTAAATTTCCAACATTAAATCACAAGGAGTGAATCTCCACACTTATAAAAAAAAAAGTGCAGAGAGTTTGTTTGACAGCAATTGGGACTTACTATGTTGCTAACTCTCCACTTATGCTTAAGTGGACAAGCCCTAATATTTTCTGGAGTGTTAGTTAGAATGTGAGTGCATACAGTTAACCTCATGTCTTCTATGCTGAGTATCTCAGTGGGGTGCCAATGTTGTGACTTCTATGGAGTAACAGTAGATTAGTAACAGTAGCAGCATTTTCGATGTTTCCACATTTGACAGTGCATGTGCAGTCATTGGAAGTTGCAGTCCAATTTACCCTTTAATACCAGTGAACTCAGATAACTTTGCTATTATTTTTACATAGATCACTCTGTAGAATATAACCATTGACACCATTCCTATCTTTTTGCAGGATTTGGAGAAAACTTTGAGCGATTTGAAAATTCAGCTTGATGCTACCGCATTTGATATCCAGTTCTTTGTTTCTGAGCATGCAATGGACTTTTCTCCGCAGGAAAACAGGAAACTGCTCAAACATTTGAATAGCACCCAGACATTTTTTAAAAGTGTGATGGAAAGGTTAACAGTACAAGTGGAGGCTTTGAATCTTCAATTACAGACCAGATTAGAATTGGATGATCAGAAGGTTTGAGTTGCTTGATTGTGGGCAGTTGGCATGATACATAACAAAATTGTCTGCAGCATGCTTCTATGAAGCTTATGGGATGTGTAATTTTACCAACATTATTTGAACACTAGTATTGAAACAATCTGAAATCTCTGTTCTTATAGTTTGGTCAAACTGTTGATATATCTCAAAATATGATGACACCCAGGCCTTGGGTGAACCTCTGTCGTCAACCTCTAGTGTTAACAATAATGACAACATGTACTTACAGCGCACCTTTAACTTAGTCTCAAGGTAGTCACAGGAGCATTATCAAACATTGTTTGTCACTGAGCTACCTAAAGTGATACTAGAACAGGTGACCAAATGCTTGCTCAGAGAGAGAGGTTTTAAGGAGCGCCTTTCACATGAAAGAAAGCTGGAGAGGAGGTGACAGTCGGGGAGGAAACCCAGAGCTAAGGGGCAGGCAGTCAAAGTGATGATGTGCCAGATTTGAAGCAAAGGAAATCAGGGAGTGCTAGAGGCCAGAATTGGAGGAATATTAATATCTTGGAGGACTGCAGAAATGGAGGAAGTTACAAAAGATGTGGAGGAGCAAGGCCGTGGTGTGATTTGAAAACAACATATTGAGGTGTTGCCGACATTCATCAGTGAGAACAGGAGTAACGTAGATATCTGTGCTTTATAAATTTGTACCTTGTCATCTTTTGTGCTTCTACCTTTCAAAGTAATTTTCAATAGGTCGCTTCAAAAATCTCCAAATGCCACATAATTGTCCAAAAATATTTATTAAGCCCGTAATGAAAGTGCATTTTAGTTCACAGCAAATGTTTGGTATTTGATAAAAGATCTTCAGTTTGGAAGCAAGATTTTAGAAGTTTTTTTGAAGGAACAAATGGATCTAGATAGACTCAAAATTATGAAAGTGGACCGTGTAGATGTCAGCATGTAAGTCAGTCTCTGTGTCCTTGCAAAATCTCTCCAAACATTGTGTAACTTATACATTGGGTATAAAAGGAGTCTTTGGATGGATGTAGAGTGTTTGCCATTTTGAAATGTCATCTATGTCTGATGCATAGAGTGGCTATGTCTCAAACACTCCTGCATCTTGCACCACGGCTATATTGCCTGCTTAATCCCTTGAGCTCAGCTGTAATGAAAAATTGAGGCTGACTACTAATGCAAGTACAGCATTTCCATAGCTAAAAATGGAGAATTGACTTATACACTGAGCAAAAGCCATGATTTTGGGGTTATTTTATATACCTGGTCTACTTAGATGCCATGATATAAAGTACACCAAAGCAGTTTCCACTGACCAGCAGAACCAGGAAAGAGGTGAAAATTTTATTTTAAATGTGGCAATCTGGAATTCTGATTCTGAATACACTGCCTTAGAGAGTGATGGAAGCGGAAAGGGAACAAATAGGAATTTGTATTCATGCATGTAAAGAAAAGATTTGCCGAGGTATGACAAAAGAGCAGGGACGTGAAATTAACCAGATAGCTGTTGTAAAAAGCACAGTGAGCTAAATGTTGTTCTGTGCTGCATCAACCTGCCGCATAGTTAGATCATATGATTCGCAGAACAAGTGACGGACATAAATTTAAGTTCTTCACTTCTGCATGTAAGGTGTCACTGTTAGTGCAGAATTCTGCAGAGTTGCTTATTAGCCAGGTCAAGAGCTTGTCAACTTTACACAAGTAGAATTCTTATCCCTTGTCACTGCATCACTGTTTTGCAAAAGACATCTCTGAGCTGAGATCAAAGTGCCCGAGATGTGTTAACCAATACAAAAATAAAATACTGCAGCTGCTTAAAATCTGAAATAAAAACAAAGTGCTGGAAATGCATGGAGAAGAGTTAACATTTCTGTTGATGACCATCAGCAGAACCAGCGTTAACAAATTCTTGCCATCTTGCTGAAGCCAGAGGATATTCAGAATATCACTCAGTCTCTTAGCCATGACGTGTCAAGTACCCATAATCTCTCGTGTGATCATAACTCCAAAATGAGTCACTTGGTGATGAAGTGTCTCGGAGTTTGATGCTGCTTTCTGAAGATTGTACCTCCCCACAGATCTCGATGCACTTCAATGTAATCTTCTCGAGCTTCAAGTTTTTGTAGTGTGAAATATATTGCAAATGGAATGTGTGTGAATTTCATTAATTCATCAAATGAAACAATGTGGCTATTTAATACTGGAATCATGCCACACTTCGTGAGTAATTTGCAGCATGTCACTGCATGGGTTCACCATTTACATAGCATTCAGCAAGTTGATGAGCACTCAAAATAGTGTTTGTTTAAAAAAAACGCTGCTTGAAATTCAAATACTTTCCACAATGTGACTAACGCTGCTCTGTAGACCTTTTTACAGATGACTGCTTGCTGTATTATTCATTCGCAATCTCTCTCTCTCTCTCTCTCTCTCTCTCTCTCTCGAGAACAAAAACCTGAAGCCTAAGGCCATCTGAACAAAGCAAATAAAAAGAGAGCTGTTATCTTTCTGCTTGCATGACAATTGTGTGGACGTGACGCTGACGGAGCTAACTCCTTCGTGAGATAATACCCATTTATTTAGTCTAATTTATCGTAACCCATCTTCTTCACTTGTTTGGTAAACTGCTATCATGTTTGCAGCATACACTGGTGAATTAGCGTAGATTTTTATTGTAGAGAAGGAAAAGACTGTCTTAGCGAGAAACAAGAGCAAAATGACTAAGATGGTGTATTTTTTTCTATGCATTGGCAAAACAGGCTTTCGAAGAAAAGCAAGAAGAGTGTAACAAGAAATTGCAGGAAATGTGCGACTTGCTGATGGTGACTGAAAATAAAATTATTGGTTACGAGAGTGCAATGTCCATTCCTGATGATAGCTTAGCTAACTTACAACAGCATCAGCTGGAGCACCAGGTTAGTGATACAATGCATGTTTTAATGAGTTAGAAATGTGTAAATGTTGTGACTTGAGTCAACATGGTGAGATCCTGCTGATTGCAACCCTGGAGGGGTTTTAGTTACAGTTGCGCTCAGAACTTCAAGTGCACAGGCACTGGTTATCACATATAACTCATCATTAATGTGCAGCTTGAATAATTAAACTGTCAGCTGAATCCTCACTCCAGGTCTGTTTCTCATAATAATGTCATAATTCCTTTTTGTTGGTTTACATTCAGGGGTCTGTTGGTGTATGTCAGTGGTCATCACTTTTTCAGGAGTCAGCCGCATCTAACTTTGTAGCTGGATGGGCCACTACACCCGGTCCTTGACACTCACCCAGCTCTCACCTCTGATTTTATGTAGATGTGCTAGCATTGATCCACAGGTCAAACCAGGTGAGGGTGCTTGAGGGCTAATGTCCACTTATGATGGAGAACAGTAATCTCCAACCATCCTTTTACAAGTGCACAAAAACTGTGCTGCCTTGATAGATGTAACAGAAATGGTATTCTGTTACTGATGCTATAAGTATCACGGCACAACTGTGAGGATTGCTATAAAGTTAATCACCAACACACAAGAAGCTGTGGATCATCAATTGCAGTCTACCACAACCAAAACCAGACTGTCAAGCCACTGGAAACAGATGTGTAAGACAGAGAGTGGGCAATCCGAGCACAATACATCTCAACTGTAATAAATCTTGTGCAGGTGTTTCTAATGTGCATACCCTTCCAACCCCCTTCATTCAAAGCCCGAGTTAGATCTCCTATCCCCACCGTGAAGTAGAATTTAGTATTCATCAATAGACATCAGCATTTGTGGAGAGAGCAAACGAAAAAAAAATGGAACCGCGACTTAACTTCTTGTGAATTACAAACTCTCAAATGAGAGACAGTTAGATCACAAGAATAGCTCTGCGGCTGCTTTTCATTTTCTGTTTATGGCCCACAGATTATTACAAAAATGGAATTCTGTTTCATTACTTATCTATGTGGGATTTGAACTTGTAACCAAAGCTACTAGCCCAGTACAATGATTTGACAACACTGTACTCCATTAGTTTAATAACTAAAATGATATTGAAGACAATAGTCCAAAACACATGCTGTGTTTGCATAGAGGAGTTATTTCTGGAAAAGGAAGAACTAACACTGTAAAGATTGTATCATGCTTTCTAATATGTATAATTCTTAATAAAATACGTGTTTATAAGGAGCACGTTGATCGTACATTGCTGAGTTGAAGAGATGCCATCTTTCAGATGGGATATGAAATGGGGGAGTGTTCTTTTGCTTCCAATGGTTCAAGCGGACGTAGGAGATCCTATAGCCCTGTTGGAAGAAGAAGGTTCTCTCGGGCATAGTTTCCTTATTCAATACCAGCACATTTGCCGTTCATTCATCCGATTTGCAACTTGTGGCACCTGACCATAAGCAATTTGCTGTCCTGGTTGCTACTTTACAGCAGTGAATCCATTTCTAAGGAAGGTCATAACACCCCAAAGATGTGATAATATGCAGTTTAGATGCAGACTGTTTCTTTGCATTTTTCATAGCTTAATACAGCACATACCCTATTCAGTCTGTTGTGCCTATAGTGCGCTCAAAAGGAGCTATCCAGTTAGGCCCACCACCCTGCTCTTTCCCCATGGCTCTGCAGATCACTCCTTTTCAAGAATTTATCCCGTTCCGTTCTGGAAAGTTATTGTTTAATTTGATTCTACCAGCCTTCCAGGCATCACATTCCAGCTGATCAGAACAACTCAGTGCAACAAAAAAGAAGCTAATTTCCTCTTTAGGCACACTTCTAATGAATAAGATATTTAACAGATAAAACCTGAGTGTGTTTTATTTTTTACAGAACTTAACTTTTATCCTTAAGGTCCTGGGGGGCTGCAACACTTTTTCTACTAGAATCAAACTCCCAGATGTTTAACATAAGAATATAAAAATGAAGAGTAGAAATGAGTCATTTGCCTGAGCTCTCCCCACCTCCCATGCCCCCAATTCTCCACCCCACAATCCCCTGAGCCTGCTGAAGAAGTCAGTGAGCATAACTGATCTTTAATCTTAATTCCATTTTTCCACTTAGTCGCAATAGTCCTTGATTCCCTCAGAGCCCAAAAATCTAGCGATCAGAGGCTTGAAATGTACTCCATGATCAGCATCCACAGCCCTCTGGCATGAAGAATTCCAACTATTCAGAGCTCTGAGTGTAGATAACAATCTCTAGTTCAGCCTTTCCAGCCAGGGGAAAAAGCCTCTCAGTATGCATCAGTGCATTGAAATCTTGTATACTGCAGTGAGTCACCTTTCATTTTCTAAATTCCAGAGCATATAAGCCCATTCTTACTCAATTTTGCCTCACAGAACGGATCTCTGACTTCAGGAGTTAATCTAATAAACTTTCATTACATTCCTTCTGCTTTGATTACAGAGACCTTCATGAGTAGACGCAAAGTAAAGGTAATATTTCCACTTGTCGATGACAGCAAAACTAGGGATCACAAATGTAAAAGTGGTTAAAACGCAGGAGGAGGCTATTTGACCCATTGTCTCTGCACCAACTCTGCACGTGCAACTCATTTACTCCCTACCCTATTCTCTATAAACTCCGTAAATCTTTTCTCTTCAGATAGCCATCCAGTTCCCAATGGAAAGGTAGCGCATTCTAAATCCTAATCAATCACTGTGTTTAAAGCATTTTCCTCGTGTTGCCTCTGGTTCTCTTGCCATTCAACTTAAAATTGTGTCCTCTGTTCCAAACCTATCACCAATTAAGAGCAGTAATATAAAACCAAGAACTGTGGATATTGGAAATCTGAAACAAAAATAGAAATTGCTAGAGAAACTCAGCAGGTCTAGCTGCATCTGTGGAAAGAAAGTAGAGTCAATAAGAACAATTTCTCCCAATCTACTCAGTCCAAATTCCTCACGGTTTTGAACACCTGTACCGAATCTCCTCCCAACCCTCCCTTCTGTAAGGAGAACAGCCTCAGTTTCTTTAATCTGTTCTTGTAACTGAAATCCCTGTTTCCTGGAATCATTCTTGCAAATCTTTCCTTCAACCTCTCCATTGCTTTCATATTCTCCCTGAAGTGTGGGCCCAGAATTTCACACAATAATCCACTTATATGTCCAAGCAGGTGATCAGGCTCTCATAAGATGGTTGCCCGAGTTTATGTTGAGAGCTGTGTAACCTAAGACAAGCACAATTAAATCCTAAAGGGAATTCAAGCCAAATGTGTTTCTCCAGAGAGTCATGGCAATATGGAACTAGAGGAGCGGTTAATGTTAATCCATAAAGATATGAGGGAGAGAGGAATAGAAGGTTACATGGATGAAGAAGAGGTGAAGGCTAATTGTGTGGAACATAAATACTAATGTGGACCTATCTGTCAAGCAGAATCCTGTCCAAATGCTAGGTAATACATTTTCCAACATCCCCATGCTCGTTGCCCAAAATCATCATAAAATAATTGGAAGAAGTTATAAATCTCTTGTATTCAAAATCAAGGTATTGTATAGCTGAAGTAAAAATAGGAAGTCGGTAAAATCTGACTGAGCTAGAGGTTTAAAGGCACTGTCAGTGTGTTGACCCAACATTTAGCATACCTGTGCAGAAAGAAACTGGGTTATACTCCCAAACCAAATAAACAATGAAAGGATTGCAGATGCTGTAAATCAGAAACAAAAATAGAAATTGCTGGAAAAGCTCAGCAAGTCTGGCAGCATCTGTGGAGAGAAATGAAAGTTAATGTTTCGGGTCGAGTGACCCTTCCTCAGAATCCTGGTCGTCTACTTGGACGTAAAAGTGGATTATCATGTAAAATTCTGTACTCCCAAACTTCCCATTGATAGTGCCTTTCACTGTTCATTGCCTCGATTGGGATGTCAGCAGAGTATGGTATTTTAGTTTTATATGACATACGGTTTCCTGAGGAGAATGGGGATCTGGAATCCTGATTCTTGAGGGAAGGATAATCTGAGACTTTGATGAGATGCCATGCAGCACTTGGTTGGATCAATTCAGACATGTACAGATCAGTTGAATGTTTAATTCACGTCCAAAGTGTCAGCTGTGGTTCACTCAGTGGCATACACTCTTCTGAATTTGACAATTGAGTTCAAGCTTCACATATAAACACAACGACCAGACTGACACTCCTGTGCAGTATTGAGAAAGCACTGCATTGCTAGAAATTTTTGAAGTCAGTTTAAACTGTCTGATGGTTGTAGTCAAAGGATCATAAGATGTAGGAGCAGTGTATCTTTCCTTAGATAAAGGACCGAAATAGTTCACAATATTCTAGCTGTGGTCCAACTAGTCCCTTCTATATTTTGAGATTGACTTTCTAATTTTTATATTCCATTTCCTTTGAAATAAAGGCCAACATTCCATTTTCCTCCCCTTTTACCAACTGAGTTTCGATGTTAGTTTTCTGTGATTCATGCATGAGGATTCCCAACTCCCTCTGTCTTTCTCTATTTAAATAATATTCAGCTCTTCTATTCTTCCTGCCAAAGTACATAACCTCACATTTCACCACATTATATTCCATCTGCCAAGCTTTTGCCTACTCACTAAACTTATCTATTTCCCTCTGCAGACACTTTGTGTCATCCTTACTACTTAGCTTCACACCTATTTTTGTGTCATAGCTTTATGAAAACTTTTGTGGCACTATTGTGAAAAGAGCATTGGAGTTCTTCTGGTGTCCTGGGCTGATTTTCATTTCTCAATCAACATGATTAAAAATAGGTTATCTGGTCATTATCAATTGCTTTTTTGTGGAACAGTACAAATTTGCTGCTGTGTTTCCCACATTACAGTGCTTCCAAAGTACTTTACTTGCTGTGAAGTATTTTGGCATGACCTGGTCTGGGCCCTGATAGGTGCTGTTTAAATTCAGTCTTTACGTCTTTTGTTTAACAGAGACAGCTATCATTAGAAAAGAGAAAAAGGAAATTTTACCTCATTGTTTTATCCCCTCAGATGCACTGTTTAACTGGCTTTTCAATAAATAATTTTGACAGTATCTAATATGTATCTTATGTGTTCCAATATGTATTTTATTCCCCTGTGTTTCAGGCCTTACAAAAGGAAATTGAGGTGAATGCAGCCACTTTAGCAAATGTGGTAAATGCAACCGAACAGTTCTTAGAGAAGAACAGGGACAAACTTAAACCAGAAGAAAGAGCAGCAATCAACAGGAAGCTGAAGGAAGCCAAATCTAAGCTCAATCAGTTGAGTGAGCAAGTGGATTCCAAACTCAAGAATCTGGACAATGCTGTAACAACTGCTCTCAAACAGGAGACTGAGAAGGTGCTGATGATTTATTTCTTCCTCATATCTATAACTGAATTTGTCCTGATGCAGATTTCTGGTAATATTGACATTATTTATAGTTGATTGCAAACAGTTTAACATATTACCCAGGATGAGGGATAAAATCTTAGAGATGTGTTATGGAAAGTAGAATTCTTCTCCATGGAGCAGAGAAGGTTAAACTGGGACTAAATAGACACCTTCAAGATTAGGGAGGTTTGATAGGATAGCATGAGGAAAAATTACTTCTGTTGAATGTGTCAATAACCATAGGTTATACATTTAAAATCTTGGTTTGAAGATCCAGATGAGGAGAAATGTTTTCACTTGGTGTTGGCATCTGGAGCACTCTGTTTAAAGATGCAATGGAAGCTGATTCCATAAATAATATTAAAAGGGAGTCAGATAAATACTCGATGATGGACTTATATTTTATGGACGCAAAGTAGATGTATGGCACTCAACAAAGACTGCTTTTTCAGAAAAGAACAAGCCATGGCATCATAACCAAAGGACTTTATTTGTCTGCTAATTTTCTGGGACATTGATTAGACCACTTTTGGAATAGGGTGAAAAGCCAAGGTCGTCTTCCCAGGTTGGGTGAGTCCAAAACTAGAGAGCATAGGTTTAAGATCAGAGGGGAAAGATTGAAAAGGGAGCTAAGGGGCAACGTTTTCACATAGAGGGTGGTGCATGTATGGAATGAGCTGCCAGGGAAGTGATGGAAGCTGGTACAATTACAACAATTAAAAGGCATCATTTGGGTATATGAATAGAGTAAGCGTTTAGAGCAGGCCAAATGCTGGAAAATGGGACTAGATTAATTTAGGATATCTGGTCAGCATGGAAGAGTTTGACTGAGGGGTCTATTTCCAAGCTTTACATCTCTATGACAGTATGGCAGGTCCTTCCCTTGGAAATTTTCTTTGTAGTAGGAATATACTTATTCTGAGTATTGTGACCTTATTGCTTAAACATCTGCCACAACTTGTTTTATTGATCAATCCCCTAGGCTAGTAACCCAATCCACTTCAGGTAGCTCAGCTTTTATAGTTGCCCTTCTCTAAATTTAAAATACTAGTCTCCCTTTCACACTGAATGTAAAATTCAGTAATATTGTGGTAGCTGCTACCAAATGGTGCCTTTACCATGAGGTTATTAATTAATCCATCTCATTACACAATACCAGATCAATGTAATCTCTGGTTGTTCCAGAATGTGCTGCTCTAATAAACTACCTTGAAAGCTCTACACCTTGTTATCTCTTACCTTGAAAGCATTCTATTAATCCCTTATCTAAACCATTGCCAATGTGAATTTTACGTTGTAGTTTCAAATCCCTCATGATTGCTGTTGTCCCTTTATCACAAGCTTTCAATATTTTCTTTTTGTATATTTTCTTGTATGTTGTGGTTACTGTTTGCGGGACTGTAGACCACTCCCATTGGTGACTCCTTCCCCTAACTTTTCCTCATCTCCAACAAATTGCTTTTACATTCTGATCACCTGACCCAAGGTCACCTCTAACTAATGAATCTAACTTGACATCTGATTTTTTTATTAAACAGTTTTTTTTTGAAATGCATAAAGATACTTATTGAAGTTTGGTTTACAGGCTGCAGTAGTTGAACAGTTAAAGGAAAATGAGAGTAAGATCCAAGGACTCTTGAATTGGCTGTCAAATATAGAACAGGAGCCAATGAGTGAAGAGAAAATAAAAGAGACATTGCAACAAAATGGCAACAATATTTTCGTGGATGGACTGAAGAGTCTGGAGAATGAGGATACAGTGAATGGAAACCTACCTCAGGACTTGATTGAGACCAAAGCAGACAAAGCAATTGAACTAACAACTGATGAGGATTTGAATCTTCAGTACCAAAAAGCCAAGGTATAGTTTGCAGTTCTTTTGATTATTTCAAGTTAAGGATATGCATTGTTGCAGCATTGAATGAAATCTGATATTCATGTGAACGTGGAGATTTCATTTTGAAAGCATTACATGAATGAGTTAGTTGACATAAAAGCCTTTTGTACCTACTCAAGAGAGAGACTGGAAACAGTAGTGTTACCCTTGGTTCAGTGAGTAGCACTGGATATGGAAGATAGAGAACATGGGGAAATAAATAGCGACATCTTAAAAAATGTCCATACTATAGAGGAGGAGGTGCTGGATGTTTTAAAACGTATAAACATGAATAAACTCCCAGGACCAGATCAGATGTACCCTAGAACTCTGTGGGAAGCTAGAGAAGTGATTGCTGGGCCCTTTGTATCATCGACAGCTACACGTGAAATGGCTGAAGACTGGAGGTTGGCTGACATGGTGCCACTATTTAAGAAAGGTGGTAAGGAAAAGCCAGGGAAATATAGACCCATGAGCCTGACGTCGGTGGTGGGCAAGTTGTTGGAGGGAATCCTGAGCAACAGGATTTAAAGTATTTGAAAAGGCAAGAACTGATTAGAGATAGTCAACATGGCTTTGTGCATGGGAAATTGTATCTCACTAACTTAATTGAGTTTTTTGAAGAAGTAACGAAGAGGATTGATAAGGGCAGAGCGGTGGACGTGAACTATATGATCTTCAGGAAGGTGTTCAACATGGTTCCTCATTGTAGACTGGTTAGCAAGGTTAGATCCGGGAGAGCTAGCCATTTGGATACAGAATTACCTCAAAGGGAGAAGACAGAGAGTGGTGATGCAGGCTTGCTGTGATCAGCAGTGTGCCAGAAGGATTGGTGCTGGGTCCACTTTTTTTTATCAAGTATTTTAAATTATTTGAATGTGAACATAGGAGGTATGGTTAGTAAGTTTGCAGATGACCCCAAAATTGGAGGTGTAGCGGACAGCAAAGAAGGTTACCTCAGAGTACAGCAGGATCCTGATCACGTGGGCCAAAGGGCTGAGGAGTGGCAGATGGAGTTTAATTTAGGCAAATGTGTGGTGCTGCGTTTTAGAAAGGCAAATCAGGGCAGGACTTATACAGCTAATGGTAATGTCCTGGGGAATGTTGCTGACCTTGAAGTGGAGGCTCATAGTTCCTTGAATGGGGAGCCACAGGTAGACAGGATAGTGAAAGAAGTGTTTGGTATGCTTTCCTTTATTGGTCAGTGCATTGAGTGTAGGAGCTGGGTGGTCGTGTAGCGCCCATACAGGACATTGATTCGGCCACTTTTGGAATACTGCATGCAATTCTGATCTCTCTGCTATAGGGAGGATGTTGTGAAACTTGAAAGGGTTCAGAAAAGATTTACAACGATGTTGCTGATGTTGGAGGGTTTGAGCTATAAAGAGAGGCTGAATAGACTGGGGCTATTTTCCCTGGAGTGTCGGAGGCTGAAGGGTGACCTTATAGAGGTTTATAAAATCATGAGGCGCATTAGTAAGGTGAATAGCCAAGATCTTTTTCCTAGGGTGGGGGAGCCCAAAATTAGAGGGCACATATTTAAGGTTTGAGGGGAAAGATATAAAAGGGACCTAAGAGGCAACTTTTTCACTTAGAGGATGGTGTGTGTATGGAATGAGCTTCCAGAGAAAGTGGTGGAGGCTGGTACAATTACAACATTTAAAAGGCATCTTGATGGGTATATGAATAGGGAAGGGTTTAGAGGGATATGGGCCAAATGCTGGCAAATGGGACTAGATTTATTTAGGATATCTGGTCGGCATGGACAATTTGAACCAAAGGGTCTGTTTCTGTGCTGTACAGCTCTATGACTGTCCTGCTTCAGCGTTAGAAGTTTGGGGTGAGTTCAGATTCTAGGGGAATGTTGCACAGTCACACTGCATCTTCCAGATAGAATCTTAAGACTGAGTTTTCCATCTGTCCTATGGTAGATGCCGAAGATCTTTCAGCCAATGCTTTGAAAGCAAACAGGAAAGTTCTGTCTAGTATCTTGACCAATATTTATCCAACAATCAACATCACTAAAATACAGATGATCTCAGTGCTGTTTGTGGGAGGTTGCTGTGTGAAAATTGGCTGTTGTGTTTCTGACATATGATACTGATTACATTTCAAAAAGTCCTTAATAAACTTCAGAGTTGTGGGTCACCTAAGGTTGTTAAATGTGATTGAAAGATAGATGCAAATCAGTTGTTCTTTAGTCTTGCGTTGAATATTTAGTTTTTTTAGCATAGTTACAGAAAACAGTTATTCAATTAGTGATTGTTCATGATATGGTTTTGCTTAAAACAGCTTCGTCATCAACAAGTTGTGTCACAACAGCAGTCCTACATTATATCGACACAGTCAGTGCAGGATTTCCTAAAGAAGCAAGGCTCCAGTATTTCTGTAGAGGAACGAGAGAAATTGGAGAAGGACCTGAATGAGTTGAAGGCTCAGTATGAGACCACGCTGGCCCAGTCGGAAACCAGACTGAAATTGATACAGACAGTACAGGATGAGCTGCAAAAGTTTTCCAGCGATTACAGTGAATTTGAAAACTGGCTGCACCAGTCTGAACATCAGCTGGAGGATCTCCAAACTGGTGCCACTGAAGTAGAAACTCTTGTTGGCAAGCTGCAAAGGCAGAAAAGCTTTTCTGAGGATGTCATCTCACACAAAGGTGACTTGAGGTATATCACCATCTCAGGGCAAAGAGTCCTTGATGCTGCTAAATCCTGTGGCAAATTGGACCTGGGCAAAGATATAAAGCCATGTATTGACACATCTGCGACTTGTAACTTGGTGCAGAGGCAACTGGATGTGGCCAATGACTCCTATAAATCGCTGCACTCAAAGGTAAGGTTTCCACTCAACCTTTTCCTCAGACATGTTCTTTTCATGGACTTTGCAATTTTTTTTATTTTGTGAATGTGCATATGACACAGGAAACCCCCATCCACTGAGTACATCAGTTCAACGGAGTAGGAAGGAGCCATCAGGTTTTTTTAATTGTTTCATTGGACGAGGGCTTTGATGATGAGGCCAGCATTTGGAAGCCATCCCTAAATGCTATTGAACTGAATGGCTTGCCAGGCCATTAAGAGCAGTTAATAGTCAACAACACTGCTGTAGTTCTTCTCCCTTGACCAGATAAAGAAGGCAGGTTTCCTCCTCTAAAGGAGGGTTAGTGATTTTCACAACAATTTGTTACTGAAGCTAGATTTATACTCCAGGTTTACCAATTGAATTTAAATTCTACCAGCTGCTGTGGACCCACATTGAACCAATCCCTCAGAGCATGAGTCTAAACCTCTAGATTCCTAGCCTAGCGGCAATACCACCTCCCTGAATTACAAAGGGTCCATTTTTGCTTTGTCCAACAGCTGATTTGTATGGTGTTTATCCAGCATTGTGAGAAATGGGACTTAGTGGTCATTAGGAATGTGACTGCCACTGAGGCAGATAAAGGGACCCAGAAGGCCAGAGTGTACAAGCCTCAGCCTTAGCTATCTCAGACATTTTGAGGTTCTTTCAACCTTGTCTGGATGAGGGGGCTGCAGTGTGAGCTGACTGATCACAACACAATAGTACAGGAAGCCATTCAAGGGAGGAGCGTAGAAAATAATGTGGTGACGGTAGGAGCCTGTCGAGTTCGGGAATTGATAGCTTTAAAGCTTTTGAGAAGATTTGTGGCTCGGGTTGTGGACGAGGTAGTAGACTTGCTCGCTGGGCCGGTATGTTTGGTTGCAGATGTTTCATCACCCTGCTAGGTAACATCATCAGTGTGCCTCCGGTGAAGGGTTTGTGTTCTGTCCCACTTTGTAACAACGCCTCACCGGAGGCGCACTGATGTTACCCAGCAGGGTGATGAAACATCTGCAACCAAACACACGGGCTTGGTGAGCAAGCCTACAACAATGATAGCTTTCTGTGGCAAAGAAGAAAAATCCAGATGAGTGTGTTACCGCCCTAGGTGCTGGGCTTTGGGACATCTGCTCAGGACTCAAGAGGAACTTCTGTGATAGTGCAAAGATCCAGTCAATGTGGTCCCTACAGGTACCAATAACATAAGCAGGAAAAAGAAGGGGATTCTGTATGTGCAAATTGAAAAGGGCATGTAAAATTAGAGAAATGAATGTATAGCTCCAAAGGTGGTGTAGGAGAAGTGGGTTCTGGCACGTGGGGCACTGGGACCTATACTGTGGAAGGTGGGGCTGCACAGTTGGCATTTCTGCATGTGGACCTTGTTGGGACCAGTGTTGTACATAGCTGCATGATAAGAGAATTAGAGAACATTTTGAACAAAGTAGCTTTAAATGGTTTTTAATAGTTTTAAAGTTAATAGGAAAGGGATCAACTCAGCAGGTCTAGCAGCATCTGTGAAGACAAAAACATTAACTCTGATTTTTTTCTTCACAGATGCCGCCAGACCTGCTAAGCTTTTCCAGCAACTTCTGTTTTTATTCCTGATTTACAGCATCCACAGTTCTTTTGGTTTTTATTTAGGAAAGGGATCAAACTTAGGAAGAGGTGGCAAATCAAAGTGTATATACAAGGCAGGGGTTTAGTTAGCCCAGTTGGCTGGATGGTTGGTTTGCAATGCAAAGTAATGCCAACAGTATAGGTTCAATTCCTGCACTGGCTGAGGTTACCATAAGCATTCTGTATCTTAACCTCTCCCCTTCCCTGAGACCTGGTGAACCTCAGATTAAACCACCACCAATCATCTCTGTCTAATGAGGGAGCAGCCCTATGTTCCGGTAAGACTATGGTGACTTGTACCTCGACAAGGTAAGACAAAAAGGTATTAATGTAGGAACCAATTGCAGCAGGAGAGCAGAGAGAGAGTACAAATCTGAGAAAGAATCACCAGATAAAGCCACAGGTTACAAAAATAATAGAAGGGCAAAACTAAAGGCTCTGTATCTGAATGCACAAAAATTTGAGACAAATGAGAGCACAAACAGAAATAAATAAGTACGATCTGATAGCCATTACAGAAACATGGCAAAACGGTGAGAGATGGGACTGGAATATTAAAGGGTAAATGATATTTATGAAGGACAGGAAGAAGTGGTGCACTGGCCATAATTAAGACCATAAGACAGAGGAGGAGAAGTAGATCATTCTGGCCATTGAGTCAACTCTGCTAGTCAATGAAATTATGACTAATCTGATAATCCTAATCTCCACTTTTCCTACTTTATCCCATAACCCTCAATTCTCTTGTTGAGTAAAAGTCTGTCTAACTCAGCCTTAAATTTACTTAACAACCCAGCCTCAACTGCTCTTTGCAGTAAAGAATTTACAGATTCACTATCCTCTGAGAGAAAAAAAAATCCTCCTCATCTCTGTTTTAAATGGGCAGCCCCTTGCTCTGAGATTGTGTCTTCTGGTCTCAGTCTTTACCACTAGGAGAAACAACATCTCCACCATTTACCCTGTTAAGCATCCTAAGAATGTTGCCATTAGATTGCCTCTCATTCTTCTAAACTCCAATGAGTACAGGCCTAATCTACTCAATCTCTCATTAAAAGAAAATTCCTCAATATCCAGAAACACCCCAGTGAACCTTCTCTGGACTGCCTCCAATTCCAGCATATCTTTTCTTTGATAAGGGGACTAAAACTGTTCACAGTATTCTAGATGTGGTCTGATTGATGCAATACATAATTTTAGCAATGGTTTAACCTATTTTCATGCTCCATTCCCTTTGCAATGAAGGGCAGCAGTTTGTTTGACTTCCCCAATACCCACTAAACCTGAATGCTGGCTTTTTGTGATTCTTATATGAGTACTCCCAAATCCCTTTGTGCTGCACCTTTCTGTAGTCTTGCCCCAATTAAATAATATCCAGCTCTTCTATTCTTACTGCCTAAGTGCATGACCCTATATTTTCCCACATTATATTCCATCTGCTGAGAATTTTGCACACTCACTTAATCTGCCTATCTCCTTCTATCAATTCATTATGTCATCCTTGTCACTTCCCTTCACACCTACTTCAGTGTCTTCTGCAAACTTGGTGCTTGTACATTCACTTCTGTCATGTATATCCTTAATATATATAGTAAAAGAACTGTGGTCCCAGAACTGATCTCTATAGCACTCAACGAGTTGCAGGCTGCCATTTTAATAATGTCCATTTACCCCAACTCTCTGTTATCCATTAGGTAGCCAATCCTCTATTGATGTTAGTATGCTACCCCTAACACCAGGGGCTTTTATTAAATAGCCTAATATGTGGTACCTTATCAAATGCCTGTTGGTAATACAAATATATTACTTCAACTGATTTCCCTTTATCCATTCTGCTTGTTACCAGCTCAAAGAAGAGTAATTCATTTATGAGACACCATTTCTGCTCGTTTGCAGTCATGCTGACTCTGCTTAATTTTATTATTTATTTCTAAATATCTCCCATTCCATTCTTTATAATAGACGCTAACATTTTCCCAAGAAAGGTGTTAAGCTAACTGGTCTATAGTTACTTTTTTTTTTGTCTCCTTCCTTTCTAAATAAAGTTGACAATGGTAGTTTTGCTATCTCCTGTGGGATTTTTCAAGAGTCTTAAGGATCTCTGGAAGGTTATTAACAGTGCATCCACTACCTCTGGAGCTATTTCCTTTAACATTCTAGGATGTAATGCAGCGGGTCCAGGGAACTCATTGACCTTTAGCCTCATTATTGGCTGGGTATATGTCATTCTGTTTTTCATCCAGCACTGCCTTCATTTTCATTGGTGAAGGGGAATCATGTCGCATGGTGCCTTTAGCTCAAAGTTTATTTAATTCCCAAGGGGTATATCAAGAGTAACATCATATCACAGTGAATACACCTGAGGTTTCTGTCCTCCAGCCTTATGTAGATATAACAGTCAAAGATTTACTTGTGAAGCTACTGAGTCAGTATGTAAAGATTGAAAATTAGATTTATTTTTGGCACACAGACCTTGCACCATACTCATGCAAAAACATTCTGTGCACTGCAATGAATATTGGGAGATAAATGCATAATTGCATAGTCAGATTGGGATTATATTCATACCTTAAGTTTAACTGAATGCCAGTCTCTTATTTCCAGACTGTAACCAATTTACTTAATCTTAATTACTCATCTCATGTTGAAGGAAGCACTTAGCATGAAGTAAAACAAATACTGTGTATTTTGTTTGAAAAGGCTTTCAGCTACAGGATGGAAATCTGATTTCCTAGATGATTTAACAAGACAGTAGAGGCTAAAATGGTGATGGTTAATGATTACCTACCTTTAATTTGGTCTTGGCTCATTGAGGCAGAAAGTGGATAAGTTCAAGCATTTTGAAGAAGGTTCGGTGGACTCAAACTCTGCTTTCTCTCCACAGATGCTGCCAGATCTGATGAGTTTCTCCAGCAGTTTCTGTTTTTGTTTGTGATGGGTTCAGACCCCACTTCAGGGGCCATATAACACAGTCCAAAGATGGGCTTGTGGGTCTTTCTTCAGGTGAACGTGAAGGTGAAAAGGCTCATCTGTCAAGCTGCTAATCAGAATTTGAAATAGTTTTATTGTCACATGTACTCACTTACATGAGTACAGTGAAAAGTTTACAAGCTGCCACTGACGGTGCCATCTGAGGTACAAAGGTGCCTAGGCACAAAATCTTGGTACAGAGCAGGAAAATAAAGAAAACAAGTTAAGAAGTTAAACATTACAATCTTTCTTACTAAAATGTAGAAGAATAAAGAAATACAGTTAATAATTCAACATCACAATGCTTACGCACCTGGCCATGCTGGGCTCGCACTCCTCACAAGGGCTTGACCTCGCCCCCACTGCTGCCTTGGGCTGCCCGCTCCCTCTCTGGCCTCCGGCCCCCG